TAATTGCGTTATCCTATGATTACTTGGCAGTAAAAGCGGATGTTTTGCGTCAAATGCGAGATTTGAATAACGTAATCTTCCACCCACCCTAAGGCAACCAACCTCATCAACAAAAACAGCAAGTTTGCGAAACGGCTTAGGAACCGGAGTGTTTTGCTGAATTGCTCGAAAAATGTCAGAAAATGTCTCGAGCTGAGCATGTTTTATAATAACCGTCAAAGCGTGTTCTATTTCACTAATATTGATTGTTCTTGGTGGTTGAAAGTTTTTGTTCCTCAGACAATGTATGAAACGATAAGTTAAAGCTATAATTCTTTGAATCTTTTGAAGTGATGAGAAATTTTGGAGAAGTAAAGTGATGCAATGTTGCTCCACGACTGCATTTAGGACCACATATTTCGTTTCCTCCTCGGCGGTTGCTTCCAAATGATTTGGTTGCAAAGGCCAATTCTCCCTTGATTGTGAGAGCCAAGAAGGACCTGCCCACCACAACGAATGTGCGAGTAGCTGGGATGGGGTTATACCTCGAGACCCCACGTCGGCGGCGTTATCTTTTGTTGGAACGTAATCCCATCGAGCTTCTGGCAATGTTTCCTGAATATGCGAAATTCGATGAGCAACAAAAACCTTTTTTGTGTAAGGTAACGAATTAATCCAAGCGAGGGTGGTTTGACTATCCGACCAAGCGTGTAGCTCATTAATAACTACATTAGGAAGCATTGACTGAATATTGGCAATCAAATCTACAAGCATTACAGCAGCACATAGTTCCAAACGCGGTATAGATAAAGTTTTTAGTGGGGCGACGCGAGATTTTCCAGAAACAAGGAATACCTTAGTTAAACAATCGGATAAGACAATTTTAAAATAAACAACTGCGCAATATCCCATTTGCGACGCGTCGGCAAAACCATGCAACTCCGTATAAAGTGCGTCCTGACACAAAAACAACCTAGGAATGTTTATTTTTGAAAGGTATGATAACTCGGATCTGAATTGATGCCACTTTTGTACGATAGAATCTGAGGGAGGATCATCCCACCCGACCTTTGAGATCCATAACTGTTGCATAATAATTTTTGCGAACATTACACACGGTGATAGGAAACCTAAAGGGTCATAAATTCTGGAAATTTCAGATAAAATATATCTCTTAGTGACCAATGGATCATGGGATGTGTAAGAATAAAAGAAATGATCATCTATCGGATTCCAATGTAACCCTAGAACTTTAACGGAAGATGGTTCTTCTTTGTTAAAATCGATGAGATGTTGATGTTGCGATTTAATTAATTCTGAGTGGTTGCTTGCTCATTTTCTCAATTAAAACCCGCCTAGTTCCATAAGTTCAATTAATTCTTTCTGTAATTTTAACGCCGATTCTGTGCTGGTTGCACCGTAAACAACGTCATCGACATAAATAAAATTCTGCAATACGTGCGATGCGAAAGGGAATCTATTTTCGTATATTTTGGCGAGTTCTTGGATTGTGCGATTAGCCAAATAAGGCGAAGAAGCGAGCCCATAAGTTACTGTGTTAAGACGATATTCATTAATGGGTTCGTTTGGGGAAAAACGCCACAAAATGCGTTGAAAATCTCTATGCTTGGGTTCCAAATTAATTTGTCGAAACATTTGTTTGATATCGCAAATAATTGCAATTGGAAAACATCGAAAATTTAATAATATTGCAAATATGTCCTTTTGTAGTTTAGGACCGATAAGTAGCGTATCATTTAAAGATAATCCTAACGATGCCTTTGCGGAAGCATCGAATACAACACGCAATTTAGTAGATAAACTGTCGGGGCGATACACACAATGATGTGGCAAATAGAACCCATTATTAATTTTCAAATCACGAACTACTGACATGTGACCACTCTCGAGATAATCCTTCATAAATTCAGAATATGCAATCCGTAAAGATGGGTTTTTAGCTAGCTTGTTTTCCAAGGAAAGAAATCTGCGTTTTGCTTGACTGTAAGAGTCGCCTAGAACTGGCTGAGAAGCTTTAAATGGTAAAGACACAATGAATCTGCCGCTGGGTTCTCGTTTCACTGTGTTAGAAAAAATCGTTTCACACAGTTGTTCCTCTGGAGTCAGAATTACGGTACTCTTCGGAACCTGCTCAACTTCCCAAAATTTTTGTAGAGTTCTGTTCAATGAAAATTGTGCGAAGACGTGAAATGAAAACGGATTTGCATTGTCGCTGGAATTGCGAAGGACCGAAGCGGTGCCCTGTAGTATCCAACCAAATATACTGTCAATAGCTACTGGCTGATCGGCTGTACCAAATATGCGATCTTTGTTAAATATGTACGGTGTGAGTTCAGCACCAATTAAAATGTCGATAGACGAAGGTATGTTGAATTTGGGATCTGCGAGGCGTAAATTGGTGATATGTTTGCAATTTGAAACATCAATTTCCATTTGAGGTTGCTTCGAACAAATTTGGGGCACGATCAAAGCTTCAAAATCAAATTTTGGATTTTGGCAATGTGCAGGTTGCATGTGGCATAGGACACTTCCTTTACTGCACTGAGTGGACATATTATTTAATCCATGAATTGTTAACGATGAACGCTTGGGTTTTAAACCTAACCGATTAACACAATTATCAGAAATAAAATTGATCATACTTCCAGAATCAATTAATAAGCGAACTGGTTGATAATTACCCCGTATGTCTTTAACATTAACAACTGCGGTCGATAAAAGCACTGTCGAAATTTGATAATTAGAAGTAATATTAGTCATTACGCTCAATGACTGCGTTTGCGTTATTTCGTTAGCGCTCACGGACTCTGAAGAAGTCGAAGGAATTACAGTATCCTCACTTGGTACTGATAAAACCTTTGCGTTAAGATGTAACAGAGTGTGATGCCTGCGATCACAGACATGACATCTTGCTGTAGATTTGCAATGAAAAGCAGTGTGTAAAGAACTAAGGCAATTTTTACAAAGTTTCTTCGTGCTAGCTATTTGAATTCTGTCTTGAACTGGTCTTGACAAAAATTCAGTGCATTTATATATGCCATGCGGCCCCGAACAATGTGAACACTTCAAAGTATTTCTAGTACTAGATTGCGTTTGTGAAGTATTGGTGGCGTCAGTATTTAAAAGATTGGAAATCTGATAACCACGTTTAATAGTTTGTGGAATAGGTGAAGCGGCTGCCATCTTCGACTTGGGAGACATTAATTGTAACGAATCTAGTGCCTTTGACTGATTTTCTAAAAATGTAATTAATTGTTTATATGAAGGGAGCTCAATTTCACTATGTTCTAGTTCAAAATCTGTCCGGGTTTTGGTATCTAACTTTTGCAAAAGCATATTAAACAATAGAAAATCCCAAGAATTGACTGGAAAATTGAGAACCTTTAAAGATTCAATGTTTTCGTGAAACGTGTCTAAAAGTAACCTTAAATCTTTGGAATTAGGGCGCTGCAAAGCAGTGGCGTTTTGTAATTGTTGATAATAGGCTGTAGCAAGTAATCTTTTATTCTCGTATCTATTTTTTAGAATTTGATAAGCTGTGTCATAATTAATTTCAACTAACGGCAAACCTTTAATAATATTATGAGCTTCGTCGCGTACTGAAGTTATCAAATGATGAAATTTTTCGATTTTAGAGATGCTGTCATTGTTATGCACCAATGAATTAAATAAGTCTATGAAAGCTGGCCATTCCTTGATATCACCAGCAAACTTTGGGATCTGAATTTTTGGTAATTTTTGTATTGTTTTTGCGTTAGAATTTTCTGTATGTATATGAGATTTATTAATTATAGCACATAACGCCTTTATTTTATAAAAAATAATATCTGTATCTGAACGAATTTTGTCATGTTCCGGAAAATCCTCATCTTTAACTAACCCTATGATATAATTGTGATATTCTTGAAATTCCTTATAATTGGTATCTACTTGAAGTGCTCTCGCCAAGAAGATAGCTTTTCTTGATTCATCTAACTCCCCTTCGCCTTCCCGTAAAGTTTCTTTTAATCTAGACATCGCGGTATTTCGTAAAAGAATAGATTTGTTAAATTTAGCTGCTACGGTTGGGTTCATTCTTGAAAAATAGTAAATTTAAGCAATATGAAAAATAAGAGAAAAAATATCGAATCCGAATTTTTATCGTTATACGGAACTACAATGCGACCAGGTACAGATAGAGCGCAGACACAGACACACCAAAATTGTATGGCTGTATTGATAACGACACAACCTTGTCGTTGCGAACAAAATTATCGAATTTGTTTATTTATCTATTGCTTGAGCTAATAACGTAATTGCGTAATTAAGCAATTAATAAGGATTAATTCGTGTATAATTTATGTGGTGGAAATATGAAATTACCGTAACCAAACTACTATCAAAATCAAAAATCAATTATGATGAGTTTTAATTTATGAAATGGTAATTAAAGGATTTAAATCCGGGACGAAGGACCATCAATGTTTGCGTAGTAAAAGGACCTGCACTTACCCCAATTCCCCAAAAGAACCAGTATTTATTGGCACCAACTTTGCTGCTCTGGCGCGCGCGCTGCACTGCTCTCTTTCCGGCACTCCCTCTCCTCGTGCAGGATTGGGATAGGATATGCGGGATTCATAAATTAAATTTGAATTCAAAATAGATGATATGATTCCGGACTTAACAATAATAGGTACCTATATCTATTTACTCTTATGTGTATACCTAAACGAAAGTTATGCACGTTAAAAGGTAATATTCGGGACAAACAGACATGTTTGGCTGCACCTATATACTTATTTAATCATTGATCAGTAATGTTTACTTTTGGAACAATGAATGAATTACGCAAGTTTTCCAAATACCTAACAGTTCAGTAGAAATGTCGCTTTTCGATAGGTAGGGGACTAATTGGATAATACTGCATCTCGCATGTGATGCGCTTCTATCAGTTAAACATCCATAGCGTCCTGGCTTGTTTAAGTACAGCTACATACTTACTCGTTATAATTAAGTCTCACCTGGTAGACTTTGTTTCTGAATGCATACACGTGCTTCGTAATATCTGCAGCAATAACAGCGGGCCATTTAGTTTGATTTGCGGGATTTGACAAGACCGGTAAAAATACTTCTTCCACCAACACAGCGATCTCTTCTACGGGCTTTGGTGACATATCACCAATAAGGAGAACTTCTCTAATATTATCTCGAGTTACGACCTCTTTCTTCTTCCGAATGAAGTATGACGACTTTGTCTTAAGATTATTGGGAAATTCTGTGACCGGCATCAGTTGGCCGGCTGCACTAGTTATCATTATCAGTCTGGGCACGTTTGGGTTATTAAAAAAATTCAGAATGATTCTCTGTAATCGATAAGTGGAGAAATGAGGCGTTATAATAAGGTGACCTTACAGCATATTCGTCAGTTGACCACATCTTGTTCCATTTCTCCATTTTCATTTTTAACGTTTTCATGAGATAATTCAATAAGAATTCGACTCTATAATCTGTGTCATCGTCCTGTTGCCTTTTTTTGTCTTTGTCGCCCATTTTGAATGTTTTAAATTGGCATTAAGTACTAATAATTGTGCCGATGATGTGTCGAAGTTTTTATTTACTAATAAACACCTAGCAACGTAATCGATAGTGTTATAATAGTATAGGCAGGTGTATTGGCTTTTGTTAAAAGCAGCACCCCATTCTATATGTACCTACGTAGGTATTGTACGAAATCAAACCCATCATGTGTGCAAATGTACCTACTTGTGATTCTTGTCAGATACCTAGTCGCTTAACTACGCGAACTCGAATATATGTATCTATTATTTTGTAATGGTAGTATTTCGTTAGTTTTTTAAGTTACAGAGAAAGGACAACATTCTGTTCTGGCAGTAGCAAAAATCATATGTTTTAGAGCACTTTTCAAATGCAACATGAACCTACCTATTAGTAAGCCGAATGTAAGCTACCTGTAATGATCAAAGACATCTAGCGCATCAATGGATCACATGAAAAGGGCTTTCCATCGCAAGTCTACCAGCGTTTATTTTTAACATGGTATTTTGATCGCACTAACTATAATAGCAACAAGAAAAGTGATGTGCTCCTTTGTTTATAAAATAACATGAGTTATACTCTCACTCTTTCCTCAGATACTAGGTAAGTATGTAATTAGTATATTATGTATCAAGTTTTATAAACGACACTTTAGACACTACTATGTTAAACACGAGCGTAGCGCCTGCATGCTGCATATTTTGTTGTTATAATTTTATGTTATGCATTCACATCTTTATCTACAAACAATTAATTTTGCAACACAATTTAATATTAATTTGTCGGTTGGTTTTTTCTTGCTAAGATCTTTTTTTCCCCAACCTATTTCTGTTTCTATTCGGTGAACTATCTAACAATTTCAAAGTTAATTCTTGCTCTTGCTGTTGTATCCTTGCATCCTCGAGTATTACTCACACATAATGTACAATAGATTAAGCTTTCCTAAGAATCTGTCAACTACTCTTTAAGGACAACTCATCCCTTTTCTGTGAAACCAAGACCTGACTACTAATCTTTGTGAATCACCAATAGGTAATAAAAGGACTAACCATCAGAAAAGAAGGGAGACTTGAAACGACATCCTAAAATGTAACATTGTTTTTACCATGTTAAATAAATGTTATTTAATTACTGTAAATCGGTAGTGAGTTTATTTTATTTAATTCGTTGCCTTAATATACCAGCCACACTACGGGCACAACTTTGCAATGTACCTACAAATCAAACATTGCCGTTTGCCGATGTTTGAGTAACAAGATAACCGTGGAAAATCTGATACGGGGCCTAAGAACTAATAATTAATTAGTTTGCACTGTAGATAGAAACGTAGTGTAATAAATGATTATGAAAGTAGATTAGATTAATAATAATAATAGTAATAATATTCGTTTTGACATCAACAATAGATACGTATCGTTCAGATGATTCATTGTGCGTTTATTAGTACTCTCCTACCATTGAATAAAAAATTTTATTCAAAGTTTATTCAGTGCTCCTACGGCACACCGTTTTCGAGATTATTTCTACTAAACGTTTCAATCCTCCCTTATGAGTACCTACTTCAGCGACACTGTGTTGTTGAAATATGAGGGATTATAACCAATCACTGTAAGGGGTCGATGAGGAAAGCTGTGTAGGTTGGTGGAAATCCTTCAGTAGAACCAATTTCACGAAGAGGTGGAATGTGTGTTGACCCCCCCCCCCCCCTCCCAATTTCAATTATCACTGCGTAAGCAAAATTTTAAACAAATTGGTTTTCGCGTATAAAAGTTTTTACTTCAGAAACAGCACTCCGGGCTCTTAAAGTGTAATGTGTGCAACTATTTTTACGTGTATGCAATATATTCAACTCACTGCTATCAAGATAGAGACTTAAGGTGGCGGACTTCTTTTTGCATCACTAACTTTATTTCTGAACCGATTTGAACCAATCTTGTTTTAAAATCAGAATGCATATGGGCTAATAATAGGAAGTTTTGAATTCGATACCTTCAGTAATAAGGATTTTATAATTTTTGGTTTTTAGAAAACAATTATTTAAAATAGAACTGTGTAATGGTTATCTCCTACACTTTCACATTTTAAAATACTACATATTTAGAATCTTTTGAAACTTAAGTGAAGTTTCTCGGTGCTTCCGTTCCGACATGATGCAAATTTTCATGAAAATAATAAATTTTTCCGCCATTTAATATGTGAATTGCGCCATAATAGCACCTCCCAATGATAATAGGTGGCGCGCCGTTGGAATATTACAGCGTCCCTATTTTCGCTTCTAAAGACCTCTGTGTCTTAATTAGATAACATCCTGTCTAGAATTCTAGATTACGGCAGGGACACTAGGATACTCGTTACCTCAATTAACCCGTATAATGACCTTGCGTATCATATCACATTGCAAGATAAGAAATACCTACGGCTTTTATTATTGTAATTCTTTTTAGTTTTTATGCTTCTCAGAGCTATCGACTTGTACATTAAACAACCTAAGTTCCAGTTGGTTACATAAATTGGTAACGTACTGAAGCTTTTATTTTGGATACTGGATATGAAACACTACCTCAAAATTTGGGGTGCATTTTCCTTTAAAACTTAGGGGAAGGGAAACTACTTCAGCCATGGGGAGGGAGCTGTATAAAAAATTTTCCTTCCCTCAATGATACGCATTGCCTAGGAATTGTATAGAAATGTGGAATAATGGGTTAATAAACTAACATCGTTTAAGAACTAGTTACGCTTACGACTCAAGTTGCGTATTTGAAACCATTAAAATTATATTTAAAATTTATTTTCATTTCCATGATGTTCGGTAAGAAATTTTTCAAAACAGTTTTTCTAAACATTAATCCTCGCTTTTCCCTCTCGAAATTGGCTCACCTGTAAGTAAGCGCTTATATGTTGGGATATCAGGAGTGACAGGAGTACACAGATCATCGGGATCAGAACGTAGTGCTGGATTTTTATTCTAGACAGATGTGAAGTTGGTCAAAAGGGGATCATTTGACACACAAACCTTTTTCGTCCAGGAAATTAAGGTTTTGCCATGGCAATTTTTTCAAAATGAATCGATTATCTTGAAATTTCGACAGTAGGTAGGGAATAGCCTAAGGATCAAAATGTATATCATCGCAATGAGCGCTTTCCCCCTGGGGGTGGTTGCCACCCCACCTCAGGGGTGGTAATTTTTTATTGTAATTTTTATACAGGAATAGATAGAAGTATTAATTCTAAGCAAAAAGTGTTCTATACATTTTTTTAGAAAGTTAATACTTCTCCAGTTATTCGCGACCGAAAGTATGAGTTTTTCATAGAAAAGATCAATGTTTGTAATTGGTTATTCGCGACAAACACGAAAAGTATGCATTTTATAAAAAAACTGCGGAGAACAAAATCGTAGGTTTTAAAAAAGCAAAGAAAATGGTTTTTTTTAAAATAATTTCTGTATTAACAATACCAACCGAGTTTTGGCTTGTTAAAAGTTAGCTCTTGTTCGTTAAACGCTAAATTAGAGAGTTTGATAGTCAAATAATGGCAAAACTATGCATTTTTCCAGAAAAAGTTGTAGAATACTTATTCTATAAGTATTTAAAAAAAACCTTTCTTCGTTTTTTTAAAAACGAACATTAGCATAAAAGTTAAGTGAGTTATGATGAAAATAAGATAGATCCGTACTTTTTTCAGCGAAAACATCAGCGCAAGCAACCCCCTAATTACCACCCTAATTAAAATTAGTCCTCCCCCTTTCCAGTTTTCTCTAATTACGTATTATTAATACTTACATCTAGAAGAGTGACCAGTTTAGAAGACTTAATTTTGAAATAATTGAACCTAAAAGTGAAAAACGGATTTTTGCAATTTTGTGAATAACGCTCTTCTCTTCACAATATCTACAAAACAACTGGAGATACGTACAAAATTATACAGCATCCAATTGTAGCTTTTTTAATTTCAAACATTTTCCTCGCCGGGAATTTTCTGTACGATAAAAATTAAGTGGATATAGACGTTTAAAACGTGTATTTATATGCGAGCACTGCTTTGTTTTAAATCTCTTAGCTCACCCCATTTTAAAACTAAGAGTTTTAAAGGGATTTTATGTAAATAGTCTTGTAAAAACCTACAAATGGCTTTTTAATGCACTTTTTATCATAAAAATAAAGAAGTTATGATTAAAAATAAACGAATCACAATTTTTTCCGAAAAATTCTGAAAGCACAAATCGAAGAATTTATGCTACATGACCGGTATATATTTCGTATACTACAAATTAGACTTATATATGTCGTAGTCTTTTAGTGAAATCTGTCATTTCACGAAAAGCCTAGTCCGAAGCCCAGTCATTTAGTGAAACGCTGAAAATTTGTACGTGTGGGGTATTTTTCCTTCCGCTTCTAGAGCGATAAGGGATACCATTTATCGATCTCGAATGGGAAGGGAATCCAATCGTTTGGTCCTGGAAAGTACACTGTGCACAGTTTCATATAAATGACTAGGCGTTTCGTGAAATGACGGATTTCACTAAAAGACTACGACATATACACACTTATACATCCATTCCATACACCTATACACTATGTAATGCATATACAGGTCGATTCAAAAAGAATATCACCACTTTGAAAATCTGAATTTTAATGAAAGAAACAAAATAGAACCATATGGGTTATAAAATGGAGAGTATTAAAGTATTAGGTATATGTATTATATGTACGTGCGCGGCTGCCCGGAACTTTTACCTTTGCACAATAGCAATATGTAGTTTTATGGGTAATGGTAATGAATCGAGATAGAGATCTAGAAAAACACAAATTCGGTAAAGTAGATTGTGCGCGTGTACTCGTGCTAGTAGTACTTTCTGCCAAAGAGTCGCTCTGCAATATTTCATTTATACAACATATTCAACACCACCTATCGACAATTGAGCTTTGAGTTCTTGCGCTTCCGTGTCCTTAATCAGTTATATAAGCCGTCGGTTAAGACCG